GAAAGAGGCCCAGATTTAGAGAGGAGATCCAGTGGGGGGACAGCTGCCCACCCCCCTGCCGCTACCGTACCATCCCAGAGATGCCCAGGGACAGAGAGGCTCACTGCTTCATAGCTCGTGCCCACAGGGTCATCTAGGGCCCCAATCGGGCATTTTCACTAGTCTAGTTTCTATACTTGCCCTAGACCTTTGCAAAGGATGGAAATTGTGCGGACCGTGTGGAGAGGAGGGAGAGGGAAAATGTGACCCTTATGAATAGGCTCCCACACGCCTGGCACCCTGACGGACGCTTATGGATGTGACTCCATCTAATCATCACATCCCTGGGAGGAAGCTGTCGTACACCCCACTTGTCGTATACTCCACTTGACAGCCTCAGAGGGATGACATTACTCACCCAAGGTGACACAGCCAGGCAGTGCAGAGCCAGGGTCTGCACCAGGCAGGGGCTGCAGAGCCCCGAGCTTGGCCCTGCTCCGACCCCTCACCGTGGTCTGTGCGTGTGTATGCACGTTGGCCAGGTGAGGGGAGAAGGCAAAGAGCTTGTACAGCTGATGATTCAAACGCTGAACGGTTTTCATTCTAGCCCTACCACTAACTGTTCTGCAACCTTATGAACAAGATGCTTCCTTCCCTCTAAGCCTCAGTTCCTTCATCTGTAAAATGGGAACACTAACTCCAGCCCTGCAGGAGGGGGAGGGGGGTCAAAGAAATCTATTTTTACAGCAAGTTCACAACTATGTCACAAACTAAAAAACTGTTTAGAAAACAGAGAGTTACAAAAGCCTGACATACTGGGTTCACTGCCAGGGTAGACTGGCCATCCTCGGCACCGAGCGAGGTTTTGTTCCATGGTCACAGCCCTGACTGTAAGTCCTGGCCTACAAAAGATCTACGCTTGGTCATTCATAGGTCTAGTGAGTGGGTGGAACTTTGCCACCATCAAGTGCCTGGCCTGCAGACAGTAAGTGACAGCACCTACTGCCCCAAGTTGTCTCCCCTGAGCTGGGGCAGCAGCCACCTTCCTGCAGGCCCACGGGCAGGCTCCTCTTCTTGAAGAAGTCTTCTCTAACACTCCTACCTCATTAACCCCCCTGCTCTGGACCCTGTCTCTCCAGTTTTACATAGAATAACAAAGCCAGAAGTTTTGGGGGGGAGGGGAACTTGAGAGCTGACCTCAATGTGTGAGGGCTGCCCTGGGGAAGAGGAAGGTGCACATTCAATACACAGAACTAGGACTCCTGGGGATGAGTTATGGGGAGAGAGGCAGGCTTTATTTCAATTAAAAAACTTCTAGTACAATGATAACAATAAAAGCTAAACACTGGGGACTTCCCTGGTGGCGCAGTGGTTAAGAATCCGCCTGCCGACGCAGGGGACACGGGTTCGAGCCCTGGTCCAGGAAGATCCCACATGCCGCGGAGCAACTGAGCCCATGCACCACAACTACTGAGCCTGTGCTCTAGAGCCCGCGAGCCACAACTACTGAAGCCCATGCGCCTAGAGCCCGTGCTCCGCAACAAGAGAAGCCACCACAATGAGAAGCCCGCGCACCGCAGCGAACAGTAGCCCCTGCTCGCCTCAACTAGAGAAAGCCCATGTGCAGCAACAAAGACCCACTGCAGCCAGAAAAAAAAAAAAGCTAACACTGTTCTAAGTGTGCTACATGTCTCAACTCATTGACTCCTCACAACAACGCTAAGAGGAAAAGATTATTTTTATAGATGAGGAAACTGAGGCCCTTTCCCAAATTTACACAAATAATAAGTGGAAGACCCAGGATATAAACCAAGGCAGTCTGATTGCAGAGTCTGTGCTCTTAACTTCTATATTATACTGCCCTACCATTAAGAACCCTTCGAGAATCTAATGGCAATATAACTAAAACAGTAAGTGCTTGCCTTGGTATCAGGTATGGGATGTTAGCAATTTCTTCTTTGATTTCCCTGTGTTTTCATGTTTCTACAATGGTACAGTCTAGGGTTATAAAAGTGAATTGAGGAGGGTCTGTCCTGGGAAGCAGTGACCACCCCCATCTATCACTGAAGGGTTTGGCCAGGGGCTTGTGGACCACCAGTGAGTCCCCTGGGGTGGGGGTGGGGGGTGGCTGGGACCAGATGACCTTTAAAGTGCCAGCCAGCTGCAGAGGCTTCAGTATTTGATCCCATACACCACCTCCACGGACATGATCTGCTCTTTCCACAAACATCTGCCGAGTCTGTTTCCGCCTCTGCATCATAGTAACACCTACCTCACAAGGCTGTTATAAGGATTAAATAAAACAAAGTAGCAAAAAGTATCCTGCATATTTTTTTCTTCCTTCTTTCTACAGTCTGGTTTTCGACAAGTTCACAATTTAACATTCTCTGGTTAGTTTCTTACGCATTAAGTTGTTTCTCCCCACACACAGACATAAGCTTGGAGGGAAAGCATCAAATCAAAGTATATGGGCTTCCCAAGGGCAGGAGTATGTCCGTTTCTCCCCCATCACTAGTGCCAAGCCCAAATAAATGCTGATCAATGCAAGAATGAGAGGGGTGGGCATCCACCCACACCCACTCCTTGTCCTGGTGATGCACTCCGGGCACTTGCCAGGAGTCAATTAGAGGGTAGGGAAGGGCACCAGAGACACAGGCAATGTCAGCTCACACCCAGGCTTAGCACAGCTTTGCGCAGCAGAGCCAGCTGTCCAGCTCCCAGTGACGCTGGACCCTCACCGCCCTCCCTCTAATAACCAGTAGGTGGCAGCATAGGCCAGGAATTCATGGGAGGAGGTGTAGATGTGGCCAGGAGAGGCCACCTGAGGTTCAACCTACCCCACCCTGGTCCCCAGGGAGAGGGGGCCACTGAGCACCTGGAAGGCAGCAACTGAGCTGTCACAGTGCAGGGAGGGACTGAGTCAGAGATGGGAGATGGCAGAAGAGGAGCCTGGGCTCCTGACCCTTTGCTCCCTCTTCCCAGGCTGGGCCTTCTAAAGCCTAGGTGAGGAGAGGAAAGTTCCCTCGGGGCAGCTATCCTCTGGGGGCACCATGGGCCACAGCATCGTGGCAATGATGGGCACTCACTGTGGGTGGCCCCAATGGGCTTGTCATCCTCCTCGCTGTCGGGTCCTGAGCACCATTCGTCCCCACTGTATGGCTGCTTCCGCTCCAGCACACAACGCCGCTTACTCCGGGGTGCCACTTCTGCCCAGGCAGGCAGGGGTCAGAGTGAGTACCCAGAGGCCCTGTCCTCCCACAGCCAGGATCCTTCCCAACCCCGTCTCCCAGATGCCCCACCCCAGGGGGCACTGCCCCGCCATGGTGGGCACCTTGCCAGCCCTTGGCCCCCACCACGACACCATTTGTTTCTGATTTCTCTCTACAGCCCTACTGCCTGCCTCCCCTCCCCCACCCAGCACCAAGCCCAGCATAATCCCCAACCGCAACTGGTTCTAATTAGGGCTGGGGGGGGGGAGGGGGAAACTGCTGCTACTCTTCCAGGCCCCAGTGCCTACACCATAGCTCCCACCAGCCAGGATACCAGAAGGCTCCTGGGAAGTGTGAGGGTCTGCTCCTCACCCCAGAGCACCTCCCTCTCCCGCTCTGGGGGCTCTGGTGGGAAAGCAGCAGAGGCATGAGACTGACCGACCAGAGGCCCCATCACTCTGTGTGGCCCCTCCATGGGTGGCACCTAAGGATGAGACATCTCCATCCAATCCTGAGAGAATAACCAGATGGGTGGGTATAACGGGGGTAAGAGAAACGTGCCCCCGGCATAAATGCTGGAGAGGAGTGGGGGTTGAGGATTAGGCAAGGGGGCTAGAAAGATGGTCTCCCAGCAAGTGTGAGTCTAGGGCTGTGGAAGATGCTGGGGTCTCGGGGATCAGGAAATGGGATACCTTTGGCCTCGGAATCCAGGGACGGTGTCCCAGCCTCTCGCTGCTCTCCGGAGTCCACAGACACGCTCCGCTCCCTCTTCACCTTGCCCTTGAGCGAGCTGAAAGGGGGCGCCCCTGCCTGGGGGTTCTTCTGACTTGAGTTGCTGGGTGAGATCTGGTTGGCCTTGGCCCCATGGTTCCCCGCCCCCACGCCCTTCGAGCCCAGGTTGCAGGTGGGTCCTTGGTTCACATTCTGGTGCTGGGATTGGGCCCCGCCATTCCCTGTCTTGCCATGATTGGTCAACTTATTTTCTGGGTGCATTGGCTTGGCTGGGGCAGGGGGGCAGTGGCCGCGGGGGGACAGCGGCGGGCTCCCTGGAGCTTCTCTCCTCCTAGGGTGGGGTAACCTGGAGAAGGTGGAAGAGACATGAAAAGTTAATCCTGCTAGGGGTGTAGCATGCCTGGATTTTAATCGCCCCATCCTGCCTCGCCTAGTGGTAGGGGAGGTGGGGGCTGAGTGGCATCTTAAGACCACCAGCTATCCCCTACGCCCCTCCATGGCTCCTCAGAGAAGGGCTGATTCCCCTCTCCACCTCGGGCAGTGAAGATGGGGCAACCCCCTCCGCCCTCCAATCCCCACAATTCAAACAAAAACCAGGGCCTCACATTGGCAGAATCCAACCCACCCCCAGCCCCCAGCATCCAACAGACTGCAAGCCTCCGTGGCAACCCCCCTCCACTAGCACCTGGCCAACACTTAAGCATCCTCTCGTCAAGGGTTTGCTGTCTTCAGACTCCTTCCAAGGTCCCCAACCTCAACTGCCATGTGTCCCAACACCAGCATGGAAGGGGCACAGGACCTGAGGGTCACTGCTCATGCCCCAGCCCCATTCCCCTGGGGAAGTGGGGAAAAGCACACCAGAGAGTGGTACCCACTGGTCCAGACAGCTCCCCAGAGCAGGAGGGGAATGCCTCAAGAGGGTCTACTAGTATGCCTGGCCGGCAGGCAGGAGCAGGAAAAAAAATGGGGAGGGGACTGTGTGCAAAGCAGACTGAAGCCAAGGATTCCTGCAGCCTAGGCTGCGGGCCCTTTAAGCTCCAGCCCGCTCCCCCCACCGCCTCCCCCTCCCCGGAGACCTATTAATAGCCGCTGGAAAGATCACATCACGGGAGAGGATATTTATCCCCCCTCATTCCACACCAGCTCAGATTTATTTCAGCTCTGCTGTCCTGCTGTTGCCGCCTGGCCCTGTCTGCCGGCTTCTCCTGGAGAAGGGGAGGGAGGCAGGCACTGCCCCTCCCTCCAGCTCCCACCCCCAGCTAGACTGAGGCCAGAGGGCGCCATCGGACCCGACAGTGGGGTGGGCAGGGGTCTGCTCAAACCGTTTTTAAGAGGAAAGGGCTGGAAGGGACTAGAACAGCAGGCTTAGCTGGTTGCCATTCTCCTCTGTCCCCTGGGCCCAGGCACTAAAGCTGTGGGCTCCTGCCTCGGGGCAGGCCTTCCCATTCTGACCCCCCTTTAGCCCGCCGGTGGCCTGGAAGCCAGGTACTCAGGGGGTCTCGCTCTCCAAGCCTGCACAGTTCAGTCCCATCACCACTGGGCCCTTCCCTTCCCCTCACTCCACACACATATCCCGCCCTCCGCGACACCCACACACCTTGTCTTGTTAGCCAGGATCCTCATGGTTCCCACACACAGTGGGGCTACGGCCCCTGTGCGTGCCCAGGGCCCAGCCAGGTACTCGGTACTGGAGCAGGGACTGCAGCAACAAGCCCCAAAGAGAAAACTTGTGACTTGGGGAGGGGGTGTGAGAAGGGGAAGGGAGACGGGAGGACCCAACAGCCCTGGGACTAGGGAACTGGATAGGGTAGGGTGTGAATGGCAAGGAAGGATTACTAGTTGGGGTCTGGATCCTAGTGGCCGCTCCTAACCCCATTCCTCCCGCACCTTACCCTCAGGGAGCTTGCAGTCTCTAGCAAGGGCCCCCGGGCCACAGGGGCAGAATTCACTAAAAGGATGGGTTGCAAAAGTGCCCACTTGGGGCGGCCGCGAGGTCTGTCAGGCCCCGGGGGGTGGGGGTGGGGGGACTCCCACCCCCAGGCACGCCCCTCACCCGGGGGGCGGGGGACCCCCTGGCGCCCCGCCCCCAGCTCTGAGCCCTGCCCCTGGGCGCCCAGGCGGGAAGGGGGCCGCGGGTAGGGGTGATGCCCCGTCCCCAGCTCGAGGCCTAGCCCGTGCCCATCCCAGCAGGCCCGGGCGGGCAGCGAGAGGCCTGGCGGGGCCCCGGGGCTGCAGCTGGGCTCTTCTGGAGACCAGTAACGCTGGCTCAGATTCCTCCCCGACCGCAAGAATGCAGGAACCTCCCCTCCCCCCGCCCCAGCACCCCACCCCGCCCCCTTCGGGAGAGCCAGAGCGAAGAGGCCGAGCGAGCGAGCGAGCGAGAGAGCCAGCGAGCGAGCGAGCCGGGGAGCGGGCGACGGGCAGGACTGCAGCTTGCCTCTCCCGGCCCCGCACGCGCCGCCCGGACAGACCCACGGCCAAGTGCGGCGAGGGGCCTGGCGCGCGCCACGGCGGGGCCGAGGTTCGGTCCAGCGCTAGGAGCCGCCAGGCAGGGGCCCTGGGACCCACCAGCACCCAAACTCTGACTCACACACACTCGCAGCTCACACGTGGACGGGGAGACAAAGACACGCACGGAGCCCAGGAAACTAGAGGCGCGTTCACGCCGGCCCGCGGAGGTGTGCGGGAGGGCGAGGGAGGTGCTGGCCGAAGCAGGAGCACAGAAGCAGCCTGGGGCATGTTTCCAGAGGCGGCCAGAGTGCAGAGAGGGAGCGCATCGACTCACTGAACAGATGAAAAGACTGAGGCCCGGCCACAAGGGAGCCATAGAAAGTTGAGCCCGGTAGTCACAAAGAAACACACACACAGGGCCATAGATACACCAACAAACAGACTTACACAAACACAGAAGCCTCACCCGACCGCCCCCAGCCCTGTCCCCCCCTCCCCCACAGATCCCAGAAAGGGGTAGGGGGAGAGGAGGAGTCTTGGGTCAGAAGCTTTGTCCAGGTGACAGGCCCAGCCCGACGCCGGCCCACATTCCCTGCCCACATTCCCTGCAGAGCTGCCGGAGGCTGGGCTGGGACCTGGGCGTGGGGCCGGGCGGGGGCACACCAGTGACCCTGTTGGAGTCTAACCCTAACTTAACCCCAGGGCACATTGGCCTTCCCCACCCCAGCTCTGTCTCTAGGGAGGGAGGCTCCTCGGGAAGATTCCAAAGTCCAGGGCCTGGCTGGGAAGCAGCCTGCTGCCAGCCCCCATCTTCTGCATCACGCGGGGTCGGGTGCGGGGGGTGGGGGTGGGGGTTGAGGGGACTGAGGTGGGGAGAGCTGGAGGGCACCTGGGCTTAGGGGCAGGCCTATGGGGCTGACATGGGTCCCAGGCTTGCACCTTCACCACCTTGCTGATCCTCAAAACTACCAATCATCTGCCACGACAGCAGCATTATCCCCATTTCACTGTGAGGAAACTGAGATCTGGGAAAAGGAAGTGACAGGCCCCTGGGTCACATGACCGTTACATGGCAGCACCAAGATCCCATTCCCCTGGTGTTTCCTCTACACTGCAGTGTCCTCCCCTCAAGTCATGACAGCTCATCTGAGCCTGCACCAGACTGATGGGCTTCCCACACGCCGCAGGTCACTGGACCCAGCCTCCGGGGGTTGGGGCAGGGCAAAGGCCACCCACTTTCCTGTTTACAGCTTCAAATATCGGGACATCTAATAATTTGGGAAGGGGCTGTTAGAAAATTAGTCCTCTCCAGGGTACCCAGTCAGGCAAGCCTCCTCTCCAGAAGAATCGTGGAGTTGCCTTCCCCTCTAGGACTCCACCCCCTCGCTCCCACCCAGCGGCAGGACGAGCTGAGTCAAGTACAGATGAGTCAGGACTTTCCCATCTCACACCTCCCCCCTTTGCCCCTCAGGGGTCTGCCCCAGATCCCAGAGATCCCCGTCCTCCTCTAGCACTCACAGTCCCCGGAAGAGATCTGGAAAACCTTGGGGATGGGAGGCAGGAAAACTGATTCCTGGTGGGTGCAGTTTTTAAACAAACTGTGAAGGGGCTTCCTGGCACCAGGCCAGGAGCCCCCCTCCCCCCCCGGAGATGGGTGAAAGGACAGGGATGGAGCTCTGGGAACACAGCGCTGTGGTTGCCTCTTAGGGGGTAGGGTGGGGAGCAGTGACATGTGCTCACAAACAGGGAGCAGGTGCCAGTCACCTGAGTGAAGAGGCCAGGGGCAGATCTATGAGAATGGAGCCCAGGAGGCTGCTGAGACAAAGCCTGGCTAAGATATTGCCCTCCTGGTGCAACGTGGGGTGCGGGGTGTGGGGTGGGGGGTGGGGGGCAGTGACCTAAGGGTTAAAGTGCGCCTGACCTCAGCTGGGGGAGGGATACCAGGAAGGCTTCGATGGGGCAACCTGCCTATTTCCAGCTGCCCCCACCTTGGGAGCCTCTCCTTGGTTCCCCAGCCAGCCCACCAGTCTTATTGCCCAGCTCAGAACCATCCCAAAGAGGCAGTAAGAACACGCTTGGAGGGTCCATGCTTCCACACACAGTGGGCAGACACCTCTAGAGAGGAAGTGGGCTGCTAGGACCCTGTGGTAGCTGAAAGAACAGGAACCTGCTGGGAGTATTAGTGGTGGGATCCTCAGCCACTGACTTAGGGTGAGGCAGCCCTCAAGACAACAAGGTCCCAAGTCCCCTTTCTCTTGGGTGTCAGGACTCCTTGGTCCCTAGAAGCTCTCCTCTAACACCCAGGTCACTTCCTCTTCCTGAGGTGGTGACTCAGCCGGGTGGGGAGGTCAAGGATTCAGAGCCCAGCAGGAAATCTGCTCAAGAACCAAGGTATTGCTCTGGGACCCTCTGTGTGGGGACTTCCAGGCTTGGGGGGCCTTCCCCTCACCCTGGTTCCTAGCAGCTCTCCCCACTTCCGCCCACCTCCTGCCAAAGGAGACCATGCAAATCAACCATTTTGTCTGGGAGTTTCCAGCCCTACCCCACCTGCAGCCCCAGGGTGATGTCAAGGCAACCCTAACCCTGCTGGGACATGGAAACTCCTGGCCCCAGACCTTCCAGTCTGGGGTCTTGGAACAGGGTGCTTCTAGAGGGGATTCTGCCCTTCTGGAAACTACCAGACTAAGTGGCATTGCCTAGACAAGCTGGAGGTCACCTCACTTGGCTCCCGTAGCCAGTGCCCAAGTGGCCAGGCCTTGGGAAGCAGTCACGGCCTGGCAGTAGGGTGCCCCCAAATGCTACTGCCCAATCTCTGGCTGCTGCCTTCCCCGGGGGGAGGGGGAGGGGGAGAGGGAGGGGGGGCACAAGGAAACAAGACAGGGCAGGAAGCCCAGGCAGGCAGCGGGCACTCTGGGCCAGGCACAAACAGCCAACACAGGAAACCACAGCCCACCCCCGCCCACCCCACCCACCCAAAGCTCTGGGAGAAGGGAGTGCCAAAAGCCTGGTACCCCAGCAGGGGCAAGGGCTAGGGGTTAGCCTGGGGCAAGGGAGAAGCAAGCAGCTCTCCAGTCCTCTCTCTGCCCCAGACCCTACCTCGGGAAGGGGAGAGGAAGCCAGGCTGGCAGGGGTGGTGCTGCCTCTTTAAATCCACCGAAATCCTGAGCTAGGCCCAACCCAGCTCTGGTTTCACAGGAAGGAAAGGAGCTCAGGAGCCAGTAGGGCAGGCAGCAGTGACTGGAATTAGCCTCACCAGCCCAAATATATCTGGTCTCCGCTTGCCACCCCACTGGCACTTCCTGCCCCCTGGCACCTACACCACCCTGGGGGTGGGAGAGGGTCTAGGTGCTACTCCCCACCCTGTGGGAAACCCCAATCTCCCCAGATGCCCTGTCGCTGGGTACACGTGTTGGGAGGTGGCGTCCCAAGCCGGGATTCCCAGAAGGGAGGAATGGACAGGGTAGCTCCCTGTGGGCCCTCACCTGGCCTCTATCCTCCAAGGGGTTAATCTGGCCCTTTTTTTGGGGGGGGATTAGGGGTGGCCCAGGAACCTCCCCCAAACTGCCTGACTGCCTGGCGGCTGGGAACAATGGGGCCATTGTGGGAGTTGCGAGTGCGGGCAGACTGCTGGCACAGGCAGTGCACCATGGGGCGCGGGACCTCACCCAGAGCCCGCCTGCCTGCTCTGCTCTCTCCCCCAGGTACTGCCAGCGTCAGAGGCATCCTCCCAGCCCTCACCTCGCAGGCCTGGCCCAAACTCTTGGCACCAGCAGCAGCTGGAGGGCCCTCGAGCTCTGCCCACATTGACATCCAGACTGCTGTGACCCTACAAGGAAGCAGGGGCATGTGGGCCAGGATGGGTTGGGGTGGGGGCTGATGAGACAGGATGTATGCCTGTGATCCTCCCGCAGGGAAGACAGGAAGGCCAAATGGGGTTTCTGGTGTCAGTCCTGGCACCCTCAGGCAAGAAGGGCTTAAGGGATTGTGAGAGCAGTGACAGGCAGGGTCTCCTGACCCCAGGCCTCCGTTCCTACACTCATTCCATAGACCTGCTCCCTGAGGAGGCCCAGTCCTGCCAGCCTCGCCCTCTGGGGCTGGGACACTGGCAGTGTGGGTGATGCAGTGGAATGAGAGCTGGGTTTGCAGTCAGGCCGACAAGGATGCCAATCACA